GCTCAAGTGGTTAAAGAACCAGTGTTTTAACGGAATGAAGTTGCCACGGACCCTTAAGTACTAAACACAGATGAAAGGGGTGCTAGAGGGGAACATGCCAGCTATTCCTTTTATGTTTATATCAGCAAAAGTAGAATCTTCTGAGCAGAATTCTTCGGCTGTTGGATCAGCCTAAGGTCCTAAGACAGGCCAATTCAAATCAAGCCTGAAATAGATTTCTCTAAACAGCCGCAGTTTGAAATAGTTCTCGATACGGGGGCCAGTGTGAGACGTGGGTCTCAGCTTTCAAGTGAGGAATCAGTCCCTCCTGAGAGTCAGAAGTGCCGTTTCTTGATTCCAAGAGCCGGGTCCCCCACAGCAGAGCCCGCTTCCAGCTCAGGTGGTTACTTTGTCACGGTAGCGCTCACCCGCACAGTCCCGAAAGCGGGATGAAGCGACAGACAGACACTGTATTGATTCTGAACTCAACCTCCCATAACGTTACGTGTGAAAACTTACCACTTAACCAGCTGATTGCACTGAAGTTCCCCACAAGTGTTTTGCTGGGTTTATGAAATGTCTTAAATTAAATATCCAGCTGGGATCATTTAAAACAGAAACACTGTATCTCAACACAAGTAGCCTCCAACTCGCAGCCCCCTTACCACCCACATGGAAAGGGTTTGCCCTGGCTCCTGTCTCCCCACTGAGGAGAGGGGCTTCCTGATATGGCTATGGGGATCTGGTGGGGAAAATTCCATAGGAACTATGTGGGCTCAGAACCTGCGGGGAGCTCTTCCCAGCTGGGAAGAGCCAGGGGGCACCAACCCGGGGGGCAGAATCCCAGGCAAGGCTGACCTGCCTACGTGCTGGTGTGCTGGTCAGCCGAGTGACTGTGGAGCCCAAAATAGCCTCCCCGCAAGGCCTGCATTTCTTTCACGCTGCAAATTATGTCGTGCTGCTTGGGATTCCACCAGTGAGAGCCGCGTCTTGGCAGAGGCTGGCTGTGCCAGGAGCATGGGGAGGGGCCGCTGGAAGCAGGAGGGTGACAAATGACAACTACAGTACTTATCTCTGGGGCTTTACCAAACATTACCTCATTTAACCCTCACAGCCACCCCTTGAGGCAGGCTGAATGTTACCCCTATTTCACAGATGAAGAAACTGAGGTTGAAGAGATGCTAAGTAACAGCTGGTTAAGTGGCAAGGCTAGGGTCACCAAACCACAGACTGATTTGAATGTGTGAAGCTGAGCTCTTGCTTATTGAAACTCCCTGATTTCTTACTCTCTGCCCTCCTGCAGAGTCAGGAACCTGGCACCACAGGAAGAGACTCTAGCCTAATAATATTGTGAATTAGACTTCAGTCACATCCTGGTTTATATAGATTTTTGTGGGCTAGCCTGGGGACTTGATAGTTTGATTCAGAAGTTTGTTTCCACAGGCAATTTTGGGACTCGCTACCGAAGTGGTGGAATATAATCCTGCTGAATTACAACAAATTGTGGATGACCTGTAATTGCAGTTTCATGATGCTCCATGTTTCTTCTCGTTGGCTTCCAGACCCACGAAATAAGCCACTTTACCAGCCCAAGGGCTTTCATGTGTAGTTTCAGTTTGCAATGCCACCAAATTGTACCCCACGTCACATATTTACTAGGCACTGCGTTCCGCGAAGGCAGGGCTTTTGTCTCACGTGGAGCAAGGATGCCCTAGTACCCAGGACAGTGTCTGGCACACACAGGCACACGTGAACTGTTTGTTAAGTGAATAAATGGTTTTAGAACACAGATTTTTAAAGCCACCTGCACATTATGCATTTCCTTGTGAAATGCACAGACAGCTGTCACACACAGCTGAGGTCTGGGATGTGACTGCGATTAACTAATGCATTCAGATGACCTCTTGCAACATGGCTTTGGCCATCAATTGCAGACCTTCCTCCCACATGAAGTGGTTTCCCTAAGTAGCAGAATCAAATGCTCTCTGTGCACTTCACTGGTTTGGGAAACTCTGGTCCCGGCTTCAGAAGGCCTGCCTCCTGCCACCCTGGGCCTCTGGCACTCGGACAGTCTGCTTTTGGGGCTCCCTTTCAGCTCTGAAACACTGTGACATCTGTGAGCTTCGCTTTCTAGATTCCTTACTGCCTATTTTAATTGCCCTTTGGAGAAGACATTGGCAAAAAAGCAAAATAAAAGAACAAAGATAGCTAGAGGAAAAGGTCTTGGATGCCCCACTAGGAAAATCACACGGCCTTGAGTTTCAACAAGTTTGAGGTTGCTATAGGAGGCAGCCACAGCCTATTCGCTTGATAGCCAAGCTCTAGGGAAGCAAGTGAGCCAGTTATGATTTCCAGTTGGATAGCTCACCCTAGGAATGGAATTCTGGCTGTTCCATGGACACTGGATCTGCAGAACGCAGGCGACCTCAGGGTGAGTGTGTGTGTCTGGGGTCCAGCCCAAGCCCCTTTGAACAGCACAGAACGACCATTAAGGTGGCATCAAAGGGCCTTTGCTCTGTCACTAAGTTATAAGCCTTTGAAAGGAAGAGGGGCCAAGATTGACGGTACTTTATATTCTCAGCTCGAACAAGTGACTTAATGTTTTTCTACATAAGCCTGAACCAGTTGCTCGGTGTGCAGCGCAGGATGTAAATGTCAGCACTGAGACAGGGGCGTGTTGACACGCTCGAGTGTGCGGAGTCTGCACACTGTCATTATTCTGCCTTCCCCGCGCTGACAGCCTGCTACCGAACTGAACATACCTGGAGAGAAGTCAAGTTGGCTTAGAACGCCACTCAGCTTCTCTTCCGAGTCTCCTCTAGGATCTATTAGGTCTTCCCATGGAGAAAACAGAATTGGCTGTGCCCTGCTGGGTCCGGTGTGACTAGAGTGGTCAGGATCTTGTCCACTGGTGACTTAGCATCAGTTTTGGAAAAGGGAAGTAATCTCCCTTCCCCCACAATGTGCGCTCCCAACCTGCTCGATCAGTAGGAACAGCGCCACCTTGCTCTGGGATGGATGGTACCTTACCCGAGGCACAGATTTTCGTGGGCTGTGATCAGGTCAGAGTGATTCTAACCCTGGCTGCGATATGAGGCTCACCTGGGGAACATCTGATATCCAGATGCCCAGGCCACACCCAAACCTGTTAAATCAGAATCTCTTTGGGCGAGGCCCGGGATCCGAGTTCATTCATGTTCCCAGCTGATTCCAGTCACCAGGGGTCTCTTTGAGTCTTTTCCCAGAGGCTGTTAGGCCAGGAGGCAACACTCCCACCCACTGGCATTTTGGAGTGGAAAGGCCTTCCTCTACTATACAGTTTTCAATTGTTCATTGAGTTCTCCAAGCAAGTAAGTAACTTGTCCAAAGTCACAGAGTTAGTCGGAAGCAGAGCCAGAAACAGGAGCCAGGACCAACTGAGCCTCGGTAGATAGGACATTGCTTTGCGAACCAGGTCTCCAGGAATTAACCAGCATCACAGTTGGGCAGTCATTCTCTCCTGCGTGGCCGGTTAGAGAACGCCTGCCTCCCACACGTCTGGTCCCTCTGGCCTCGGCTGCAGAGATGAAGGAAAAGCCACTTGGCTCTCTCATGAATACTGTTCTAAAGGCAATGGTACCAAGGGGTACTTTAAATTTAAGTTTCTATTTAAATCATGATTCTATAAGAATCATTTATATGGACTAAGATGGAAATTTGCGGTTGAAGCCAAAGGCTTTAAAAATAGGATTACAGGGTGCAACTAATTGACTGAACTATCAGAACAATTACTTTAATTTCAACGAATCAAGCAGGTCCTCTTGCTAACCCAAGTCACTCTTGAAGTTTTAATTTGCCTTGAAAAACGAACTTTTTCTCTTTTTCGGGACTTGTGGCACGATTTGCTTTTGTGTTTGTAAAGAAGCATAACGTAAATTCCTCAGATTTGCTGGGCCGTGCTTAACCCGAGGCTGCAGGGTTTGGGGGCCTCTTACCACACCTCTGCCTTGGGGGACCACTTCTCCTGTGCATAGGACTACCGCGTATTTCGAGGGCAGATTGGCTGCAGGGTAGTGTGGGGGTGGGTAGCCAGGGTGACACTTCGGCTGTGGCTCACTATTGCTTTATCTGGGGACCGACTTTCTCCCTCTGCTGCCCACATGCCTCCCCAACCATCTCTAACTTGCCATGTGGCATATCTCGCTTTATGTAACAGATAAACCTCTGTTCATGTGCGCATGCAGGATCAATTATATCAAAGCACAGCTAACATGCCCTAATAAAGTGCCCCTTAAAACCTTTGTGAGAAGCACAATTACAGATTTATTTTCTGATGTGAATCCCCTGGTTTCTTTTGTTAAGAGTTAACATTGTCATGTGTGGAGCGAACTACAGTGTGGAACCCCCCCCTGCCCCCAGGTCCCGCTACCTGGGTTCACCCTCAGTCTTTCTAGAACAGGAACTTTTCTGAACAGATCTGACAGAGCCCAGGCGCCTGTCCTGGAAGCCGAGGCCCTTCTGCGTTTTCTCTAACTTTGGCTTGGTTCTGGGAAGGCCGAGGCCTCTTCCTTTTCAAGGGTAGTTTAGGATGGAAACGCAATTGTTTTCAGAATCCAGCACAGTCCAGTGCCCCCAAACAGATAAGGGCTTGGGAAGGAAGAAAAAACGTGTGTGTGTGTGTGTGTGTGTGTGTGTGTGAGAGAGAGAGAGAGAGAGAGAGAGAGAGAGAGAGAGAGGCTGGGGAAGGGGAGAAAGGCCACAGGTGCAGTTCCCTGTGGTGGCGGAGAAAAGATCTGTTCATCAGAATTCTAAATGGACAGGACAAAGATTCGATGCCCTCTGTGCAGGGCAAACCAGCACGTGTCACACAGACTAGGCGCCCGGGCCTTTGGGCAGCAGCCACCTGCAGCACCAGCGCGGCTGGGCCCGCGGGGCGGGAGGCGGTGCTGCCGTCGGGGCTGGCTCGGCCTGTGTGCCGGCGGCGGGTAGGGGCGCGTGGGGGTCCGCCGGCGGGCCCCCCGCGGAAAGGGAACGGTTCTTACAGTCACTGCTCAGCGCGAAGGGAGCGCGGCGGCGGGCGAGGGAGCGGTCTTCGGCGGGCGCCTCGGGAGGCCTCTTACCGGCGGGCAGCGGGAAGGCGGACGCGGTGTGGAGCAGCACCAGGCAGACAGCCACGACATCCCATAACTTCATCTTAGAGTCCCGTCCGGCGGCGGCACCTGCGCCCGCGGGCGAGAGAACCGGAGAACGCGAGTTAAGCCTGGGCGCCGCCCTGGGTGCTGCATCCCCGCGCCCCCTCCAAATTTGGCACCGCCGTCCTCTGAAGCCGCTGCAGCCCAGCGGTTCCCTGGGCGAATCCGTCCTCCTTCCAAGTCCCCTACTTGCTCCCCCTCCTGGTGCACCCCAAGTGCGCGCCTCTCTCGCGGTGTCGAGACACAACTGCTCTCCCCTCTTCTGTCGCCCTTTCCCAGGGGTCTTATTTCTGACCAGGGCCGCTGCCAGCACAGGTCCCCAATACGACGACACCGGGACACCGGGTCAATTCGATGACACCAGGGCTCCTCACCAGCCCCTATTTCTGGTGTGCACCACTCCGTCCTCCGGCGGCGACCGGGAAGCCCCCACGCTGTGCCTGTGCTCCGCCCCAGCCGGAGACCTCCCCTCCCGGCCGGGCAGCTCTCGGGGGCTCCGGAAAGCCACCTCCCAAAACAAGCAGGCGACCGGGCGTTTTATGTTAGAATAAAATCAAGCGCACCCTGGCCCGGGGGTCCGGATCCTGCTCCCGGCTGGGCGGGGCAGGCTCCGTGGCACCTTCAACCCACCTGCCGCCCCCGCCTCATTCTTCCCACCTATTTTGTCGTCGGAACAAGAAGTTAGTAGAGACGTGCAGACTTTTGGTCGGTATGAGATTAAATTACATAACTCCCCGAAGCATCAGCTCAGTTTAAAATACTAGTTCCACCTCCTAAAGTTATGAATATGAAATAACGTATGAAAAAAACCTGGCAGAGCATAAAGTAAGCGCTCAACCAGGGCTTCGGTATTGGTTTTAGGTAGGGATTGCGTTTGTCTTGAAAAATGTTCATCCTTCGTGGTATAACCGGACACCTTTTTTTTTTTTTTGCAGTTTTGTGAGATTCCGACCCTAAATCCCTCCCCTCCCAGAGGAGCCTGGAGCCCCCCCTCCCCGGCCTCCCCCACCCCCAACCCCTTCCCGGTCACTCGGGGACCATGGTCCCTGGGTCCCGGCCTCTGCGGCTTACACCCGCACCAGAGGCCTAGGCCGCCGACGCGCACATGTGGGGGCTCAGCTCTTCTCTGCGAAGGGGCTCCGTTTGGCTTCTCAGCCCTTGCATTCCTAGAGGAGAGGGCCACGCACGCGGGAGGGGGTGGCGAGAAAAAGGCGCCGTCAACTCCGAGCCAAACTCTCTCCACTTAGGAGGTGGTGGTGGGGGGAGCCCGGCGCGGCTACTGCTATTACCCAAAGCCAGGGTTCCAGTTTCCAGAAACTGGAAGTGGAAACTTAAGTGGAAACCACGGGATTCGTGCAGCTGATTATCCCCACTTCCAAATAAAACCGACTCCTAGGAAAATCTCTGAACTTTTCCCACGGGAGACAGTTTCCAGGTAATGCAAAAACCCGGGCGCCTTTCGTGTCTATGAAAAACCAGGCCTGCCGCCTCCCTTCCAGCAGCCGCCGCTTCTCCTCCGCATCTCCACCCAGAACTGTCGCCCGAGTTCCTGTGCAGGCCACCCGTAGAAGCGTTTAATTCGGCCGCCAGCTCCCACCGCCGCGGACACTAATGCATTTTCCATCCCTAGGGCGTCTGTTTGTTCGCCACGCAGCTGTTGGGATCCCGGAGCTGGTGGGGACTAGGAACTTGGGCGATCTGCGGCTCCAGAAGCCGTATCCGTGCGGGTTAGTTCACACCCCCTCCACCCCACCCTACCCCCCGCCCGGGCTCACCGCCCAGGCCGCACAGCGCGCAGGCCGTGCAAAACGAGCGCAGCGAGGCGCGTTAGCAGAGGACTAGAGGACGCGAGGCCTCCCGCTTTCTTGCCCGGGGCGTGCGAAATGGCTGGCGGCCCCGAGGGGCAGGCGGCCGCGGGGTTAATGCGCCATTCCAAATAGCAGTGCCCGCCAGCAGGAAGCGACAGAGGCCCCAGATTTCCCTTCCGAATTAAGAGGGGTTTTCCTCTTTCCCCCCTGCCTGGCCAACAGAGGGCTTTTAAAATTGGACGTGGGGATCCTCAATTAGAAGTGTGGCGAAGCTGACAAAAGAGGAAAGGGTGGGAAACTCCTCCTCACCAGAGGAGACTCCCGGCTCCGGTTCCAGCCCGCGGCCGGGTGCAGCGCAGGCCCCGAAAGAGCTCTCCCAACACCCCGGACTAGGGAGGGAGCATTCTTCCCTCTGTGCCCCGCTAGGGCTGGCTCCAGCCGGAGAGGCTTCCCAGTTCTTGGAGGAGGAGCAGGGGGTCTGGGGGCTGGGCACACACAGCGGTCTGTCTACGGGGACGCTTTCTCTGAGCCCTTCTGCCCCCGGCCCCGGTGGGTTCCCTGTTCGTCTCTGACCGACGTATTTCTGCCGCCTTTACTAGGCGCCCAAGTCTCTTAAACAGTTGCCTTGTGCGGTAACCAAGCTCTGGCCGTGAAATCTGCCTCCGCACCCCTTCTGGTACCCAACAGGCAGAACAAAGAGGGTGTGTTGCGGGCACCGGCACCTGGTGGTCCCCAGGCCCAGAGCGTAGAGGACGCCCAGGAGAGTCGACGCGCTCGCAGCAGCGGGCGCTGGCCGGGGGGCGCTTCTGAGTTCCCCGCACCAGGGGGCACCAGAAACCGCCGGAGCACGTAGCGCCCAAGCGCCCGGGAGGCTGTGTTGTCAGTCTGAGTATAAACCCGGAGAAGAAACACTCCCCCTACCAGCCTCCCCAAATCCAAATGACGCCCGGAACTTGTGGATGTCCTCGCCAAGACCCCACTACTCAGCCTCCTACCTCTCTGTCCTCTTTCCCTAGTTGTTCTCGCCCCACCTCACCTGGGCTGGGTCCCCCGCACACGACATCTAGAACGCCTCCCCAGATCCCCCGACTCTGGGTGACAGCGTCCCGCAGCCAGCGAGCGCTCCCGCCACCAGCGCCCCCGCACCTCCTCGCGTCTGGCAGACTGGGAGGTTTCTCCGGGCTTTGCCTTCGAGATCCGGGTCTCAGGGAGGGAACAGGGGGGCGCATGGGGGTGTGCGTGCTGCTACTCGTGGTTTTCCTTGGGGGCAGGAACACAAGTTGCTGAAAGATGTGTTGCTTTGCTTAACTATGCCTCTTGTCCTAGACTGTCCGAAGACTTAACTGTCCCCAGGTTTGGCCCAAGAACCCGGGAAGGGAAAAGAATACGGGACGCTTTCTGTGGACAGCCCAGGGAGGGGTCTGTCTGTAAAAGGGCCCGAGACTGGGTTTCAGGTCCCGGGGTCTCCCAGGGCCCCTTGAGAGAGTGGGGGAGGGGACGCTGCGGGCTTCCTGGACACCTAACGCTCGTTGAAAAGCGACACTGTCCCCTCTCCCCGCCATAGCGGAGGCGTTGCGAAACCCCGGGGGGCGAGGCCTCCTCCGGGCCGGTTGGAAGCGCAGCGGCTCCCACTTGGAGGGCTTTGGGGGAAGAGGTGTTTGCGTGGGGTTGGAAGCGGCATCTGTCCCTTGGAGCACTTTCGGTGTAGATTCAAAACACCGAGGAGGAGCCGAGCGCGCTCCGACACATCCGCGGCAGGGGCTGGCAGAGCCTTGTCGGTCCGCCAATGAGCAGAAATGTAGGCGGCACGGGGTTGGGAGGCCCCCCGCCCACCTGGGCGCGAACCTCGGCCCTGCGGACCCGTTCGCCAGAGCCGAAACTAAGGGGGCGCCAACCCGCTGGAGTGGGGGTCCGGCGAAAGTCCACTCCCCGCCACGACGAGGGTTGGCTTTCACCGGGTGGGGCTGGAAACCAAACCGCGACGAAATCTGCCCTGAGGTGGTGCAAGGTAGCGGAGGGGGTGCTGTCCGGGAGGAGAGTCCAGGACAAAAGAGGTCATTGAAACGGTGGCTTCGAGGGCCTACGGAGCAGCCTTGGGGAGTTCCAAATGTTTGTCCAAGGGGAACGGGGGTCCTGACCTGTCCAAGGGCCCCTCTCCTGAGTTTACTGCTGGGATGGTTGGTTAGCTGGGGGTGCGGGCCTTTGGAACGTGCGAGCAACCGGGATCCGAAAAGGGTGAGGAATGCGGCTTTGCGAGACCGCTCCCGGAGGAGGTGAGCCCTCTATTTTTAGGTTCTCAAGCACCTTTACAGCAGCCCCTCCGGGGCCTGGGCCGTACCTTGCTTGGAACCAACCCAAACAAGCTCATCAGTAAGTTTCACGCCCCGCAAAGCTGTCTATGCAGCGGCACAGCCCCCGCCCCCCATTCTGGCGGTGTTGGGTTCAAAGATGACCTCAGCCCCGCACGGTCCAGGGACTTGTCAGGACAGAGCCCCGCGCAGTCAGGTAGGGAAACTGCCCCTCTCAGACATTCCGAGGTCTACAGGCGTCAGGGGCGCCGAAGATCTTTGCCCACCTGGGAAGGCAACCTGCCCCTCCGCAAGGCAAGCCTCTCTCCCCTCTATCCGCCCGGCGCCACGGTTCCCTCCAGTCCTTGCTCTTTCCAATCTCATCGCCTGCTCTGGGGTCCAGCCGTGTCCCCCTTCTTTGACGGCGCCCAGAACCTCTCTGTGTCCACCGGCTACTCAGGCACCCCCCGTCCCCTCCACCTGGGCCCGCTTCTCCGCTTACCTCGGATCCGGTCTCCGCAGACCCCCGGTTGGACATTAACTCCAGGAGCCCCAAGTCCCAGCCAATACACCCATCCGGGCCGAGGGCAGGAGTGCGGAGCCCCGCCCCACCGCTCAGGGCACGACGAGTTCGCAATCCTGGGGCCGCTCGGGGCTGCGAGGGCGCGCGGGAGGCGGCGGCCAAGGCTCCAGTCCCCTCCGCCGCGAGAAGGGCGAAGGACGGCGACAGTTCCCCCGCCGACCCCCGCACCCCCAGAAGTCGAGGTCGGAGCAGCTGCAGCTGCCTCGGGCGGGGGTGACCAGGCTGCGCCGGCCCTGGGTGCGGTGGGCGGCTCAGCGGCGGCGGCCGCGCTCTGCGCCTTCTCGGGGCGCAGCGCCGGGGTGCACGAGATGGGCCGAGCTGATGCTGCCGCCGGAGCTGAGATCTTGCCTGGAAATCCGAAGGAGACACCACGTCAACCAGCGCAGGGAGTCGGTTGAAGACATGAGGGCGCCAGGAGCGCAGGCTGGTCCTTGAGAGCCCGGGCCGGGGGGCCGGGGGCTGGGGTGGGGGAGGGGAGGAGCGGGGGCCCGGGGAGGGGAGGGGTCGGGAGGCGGCTGTGCAAGAGGGAAAGCTGAGCAGCGAGGAGGCGCCCGAGCTCCGGAGGCGTGGGCTCAGGGTGCGAGTGGGCGACGCGAGGCGTCCCTCCCAGGGGTGCAGCGAGAGCGGTCAGCGCGTGGAGACGCTGCCAGGCTCGCGCCTCCTCCTCCCGGGGTAGATCCGGACGAATGTGCGGAGCTCGGTGCAGTCCAACCCGAGGGGGCAATCCGAACTTGACCGTGGCGTGCGCGCCCGGTTTCGTCCCCGCGCTTTGAAGGAGGGCGCGCTGTCGGGGGGAGGGGGACACTGAGCGTTCCTCGTGCCTGTTGAAGGCTTTCCTTCCTCCTCGGTGCCTAGTCCTCTGGCTTTTCTGCAGGGCAGAAGGCCGTGGCGAGGAGAGGGCTGCGGGCCGGAGTTCCACCAGAACGGCGAAGGGGAGGTGTGGAGCAGCCCGCGAGGGAGGCCGAGCGTTTGCCAGGGGACGCTGAGAGTGGCGATGCATTTATAGGGCGCTCACTCCGTGACGTGCCCTCCAGGGGCTTTTCTGATTCGCTTTCTGACCTAAACACACATTAGTTGAGTCCCCATGCTGGGCCAACACGGTCTCCAAATATCTGCTGGCTGAAGTCAGAGGCTTTGCATATCATGTATTACATGGCAGGCAATGAAGAAGGCTTCTGAGGCTGGCCGGCTCCTCAACCCTAGGCTCCATTTTCATGCTGTTGTAATCTAATACTAGACAAGGGGTAGGCGCATACATTCAAAATCCCAATTCCAGAGGCGTAAGGTCACCTCATCGGGGACAGGTCAGGGGAGGTTGGACTATGCTCGCTTTCATCCAGATTGTCGAAAATGCAGATGGGACACCCAAGCAGGCAGCGTGCGCCTTGGGTGCTGAGTTCTCAGGGAGCAGGGACCCAGCTCCCCCTTCCTGATCTCTGGGAGACCCTATGGGCGTTCCTCTTGTGGGTTAGTTACCACCAGAAGCAGCCAGAGCCTTCTTCTGTAGCTAGAGGATGTGGGGAGGGCAAGTCCTTACACATGACTCTACCCACAAATACATTTCATTTGCGCAGGGCATGGCACTGGCCCTACATTTAAAATCATGTACTAAAACTCTTATATCTTTGTTAAGCAGAAACCTGCTTACTGGAAGCCATTGGCTGTGAATTCAGTGGGACCTCTTTCATTTTATTAGCTGGAGCCAGCGAAAGCGTCAACAGGCTCAGTTTACATCCATGCACCTCTTATTTTAGGACTCATCCGGTTGTTGGGGAGCGCGTGTTCCTCAAGTAGCTGATACAGACAATAGACAGGGGAAATGTGTGTGGCAAGGTGGGGGGAATATTACACTTCGTAAAAGTCAAAGATCACCTACTTTGGCGGTTTGTCAGCGAAGCTAGTGTGGGAGGCAAATTGTTTTTACTGACGTTCCTGTGGTTTAAGATTAAGCGGAATGAAAATCCTGTCATCCAAACAAACTGAGCTGAAGTCGGGATGCTCTCTGCTCTGCGGAACGCACTCTGGTGCCTTTGATACAGCTCTGGCAGAAACGTAGATGGGCTTGGAAGGGGGAGGGGGGACTAAGCTCCTCTATTTGCCCCAGTTTAGCATTGTGTTTGGCGTTTGAAGGCAACGCTAGTCCGTGTTCCAACCATGAGTGATTTCCTCATTTTCAAATAGATTTTCACGGGGGACAGTCACGCTGTCCAAGCACCTGAGATGACTTAGCACTTGTTTGTTATGTTCCAGGCCAAGTGCTCACTCGGCCCTGGGAACTGTGCTGACTGGGCTTGTGGGGGCTGCAAAGAACAGATACCACTGAGCGTACCCTAAGTAATGGGAGTTTACTGTGAAGGAAGGCTGACCGGAATCTCCACCACTCAGACACGTGTCTCCGAAAAGCCTTCCGGAAAGGCCACCCAGCCAGGCCTCACGAAAACTGGATTGAAGTTCAGGAACTGGAAGGTCATTCAGGATACAGATCTGTGGCTGGGTTCTCTCATTGCCCCCTGAGCTGCAGGCATCTGCCTCCGATCCCTACCAACAGGCTTAGCCGCCAAGGTGATTCAGTTCCTCTCTCTCTTGCTGTTTTTCCCCGGGTGTCTCTTGGCTTCTGCTCCTGCTACCAACTGCTCAGCTCTCTGTTGATCTCACATTTAAACTCCTTTAGTGGAAGAAAGTAATTGGCCCTGCAGGGCACTAGCCAGGTGCTAGAGTTGGACCGAGGCATTGTGTGAGGCCTCCTTATGGGTTACGTGACCCCCGTAGCTCAGGTGGGCTAATCTAATCACCCATATACACATGGGTGGGCCACCGGGTACAGATGGCCCAGCCACCCTTGCTTAAGAAACCTCCTAGGGTTCCTCTCTGCCTCCCCTCCGTGGGGTTGGCACTCTGTGGCAGGCTCTGGGAGTTTAACCAACTTCTGTTTGCTACAAGACTCGAAGATGAATGAGACCCAACTCCGGCCTCTCAGAAGCTCACCATCTATATAAAGAGAGGGAGGCACGTGCACCGGTCACCACAGGATACAATGGCAAACCCTCTAGTAAAGGTATGTGTGGGGTGCTCAGGTCTGGTCTCCCCGTGATCCGCGAAACCCTGGGGAGATTACAAAAAAACCCCATCCACGTCTGGACCAATTTCCGGGCGATTAACTGAGAATTTCTTGGGCAGTGGAGCCCAGTTGACATTTTTAAAATGTTGCCCAGGTGATTCTGTGGGCAGCCGGGTTGAGGTGTCAATCGGCTTGATTTATTTTCACTGATCGTAATCACTGTATGGTTCTTATTGAGAGCAAAATAAGAGACCCACTTATTTCAACAGGTTCTCAGATGGACTCTCCCAAAACATTACATTCCTCTTGAAATACTACTAATTATCTTGAAACGGTAATATAAAGAAAAATGTACAATTTAATTTAGAGATAAAGCAAATACTCCTGGTTCTGAAAGAACATTTATTGGTACATTTACAGCATTCAGATGGCCACAGGAAAGGTGGGAAGGTCTAACATTTTCAAGCTCCCCTACTGCAGAGCCCAGCAATAGAATGGGCAGTAATCAATACGGGCAAACATCTCCTCAGACCTGCCTTTACAGACAATGAAAAACAGAGTTCCTTCTCAAGCGACTGCCAGGAAGCAAGCATTTGATGTCGTGGGGACCAGGGAACGTCCCTGGCTGTGGGCACAATGTCACCACCTCACAGCCCCCAGATGCTGAATGTAGGGACCACCACAGCTCCAGGGTGCCGTCCCCTCTTCCCTTGAGGAAACAAAGGTGTTTCAGTTGCAAGTGCCCCCCAGGAAGGTGCAGAGAGAATATTATGCGCCACCGTTTTTGCTCCAAACAACAGCAGACGGTTCCGTGATAAACAGCACATGGCCCAGAATTCGCACCTTGTCCCTGGATCTCAGCCTTTCATCTGGAAAACCAGATGCCTGGGAACCAGAAAGGGAGAAACAAGCATTGTTCAAGCATCTCATTTCCTTTTTTCCACAAAAAAGGTAAACATCCTACTCGCTTCCCATTTTCATCGCCTCCAGGGGAATTGATTGGGGATCTCTAACGCAAGGCTGTGTAAACCAGGGCTGCTGCCTGCCCCTGAGGGTCTTCTGGTGCTGCGGAACAGAAAACACACACATGATAAAACAGAAAGACCAAAAAAAAAGCACAATACAGTGAGGGTCAGGAGCCTGGAGTCAGCACTGCCTGGCTGGGAACTCAGCAAGGCCCTGCCTGGGCTAGGTAAGCGGAGAGGAGGGGGTCACGGGGGTGGACTCGGTGGGGCTGTGGGTCAGCCTTTGGCCCTTCACAGGGCACCTCACAGCCCCTGTGGGGCTTTGCAGCTGCCTCGCCGGTAAGGGCCAGGCCCCGGGTCCCTGGACGCCCACACAACCTGGGTCATGACGCTGAAATAGAATCCATCGCTGAGCAGGGCAATTTCCTTTTCAGAGTCACCGTTTTATTGAGCAGGGATTTGTGTCATGCATCCTTGCCCTTTAGCAGTAAAGAAGAGATAAATTTGCTATCCTTCAGAGCGCTTAAAAAAAGAAGGAGGAATGGCGGGGTGGCAATGGGCGGTAGTGGATTCTTTGCCGAGTGGTAGTAAGAGGCGGATTCTTTGGAGTACATTGGTTTCTCATGAGAGATCAATTTGACATTGAGATGGTGGATTTACCAATGACTTCCAGAAGTTTTTTTTAAAAATAAGAATCAAAATGTCTACGTATTTGTTAATTTTGTTTTGGGGTCTTGAGACTCCTTTTTTCCAAAAAGAACAAACAAACAAGTAAACGAACAACCTCAGCGAGGTTAGATGCTAACACCACCAGACTTTCTTACCCTGAGGATGGTTTAATGGCTTGGATCTGGGGTTGGAAAACTCCTGTAAAGGGCACGCATTTCCTGTACAGATGGGGAGTGTTTTGGGCTTTGCAGGCCTCATGGTCTCTGTCACAACCACGCAACTCCACCCTTGCATGGCAAACGCAGCCATAGGTATTAAATAAATGCTTAGATATGGCTGTGTTTATTTTGTGTATAAAAATAAAACTTTATTTATGGACAGTGAAATGAATTTTCTATAATTTTCACGTCATGAAATACCATTCTTTTGATTCCCCCCAAACATTAAAACTTTTGAAAATCATTCTTAGCTCGTGAACCCTACAAAAGTAGGTGGGTTTGGCTATGGTTGTAACGTAGAGGGGATGTATCAGTTCCAGAATTCAGGAATCCCAGACCTGGAAAAGACCCGAGGCTTCTAGTCCAGTCTCCTCCTTCTACCAGGAGAGGAAACTGAGGCAGAGTGTGGTTAAGTGGCTTATCCGAGGTTACTCTTAGAGTGAGTGATACACCTGTGCTGTCCAAAAAGTGTGGGATCAACTCACTTCGCTGGTGTGTGCATGAGTGTGTGTCGTGGGGAGTGCATGGGGGAGGGAGGTTGCTTCATCTTTAAAATTATGATCTATTTAGTATATTTTAGGGGGGGACAAGAAATGAGTCAAAATAGAGAGGGATCGGTTGGACTCTAGACTGGCGGGGGAGGCTGATGTCAGACTGGATAGGAAACGGAACTTGTAAAAAGTTGATGGCTGTCTTTAGAGCATCACAGAGCTGCCGGGTAGAGCAGAGCTCTAAATAGATTCTTTCCCTCCTTAAAAGGCCATTGCATTCCTGGGATTGACTTCTAGACAGCCAATATATAGGATCTCATCAGAGAGAGGGAGAGAGAAAGAGATTGATTTGAAAGCGGAATCCCGATACCTGCCTCCTAATTCTTTTTTAGAACACCTGGTGCAAAGCTTTTGGATTCTTCCTAAAGAATTGAAATCCGTGGGTGATTTTCAAGATACTGCCTCAGAGGATAGTCGACTCTGGGACAAGGACTAAGCATTTGGACCTTCAAGCCAAATATTCCGAGGGACCCCCTTGCCATGTGTTAACATCGCAATACAGATGTCAGTCTTGGCCCTCCTCCTCCCTACAGTAGATGAGCTATTGGACCGTTTCCAACTCTGGCAATAAAACAACGTGACAGCCTCTTCTTTACTTTTCCTCAGTGTGGGAAAACCAATTAATCAACTAATGAATGCTCATCGATATTTGTGGGTGTAATAGAAGCAAGTAGTCAATGTTAAGTGTGCATTTTGTGGTCCCTTAGTTGTTTCAAGAAATGACCCAAACATCCCTCGATGAATTTGCAGCAAAGTCAAGACCAGGAGGAGGCAGGTGGGACTTTTAATTTTGTGTTGTGGGCACTTCACCCTAGTAACTGCCCCGTTCACAGAGCAGCAACTTTGAGCTAGCGACCCAGATCCTGAAGCGACCAATTACAAGGATACTGTAGCCATCAACAGGCAACTGGAGGCCCCCCCACCCCCACCCCCCTGTCTCTCTCCTGAGATCCGGTGTATTGGCTATCTAAATGCCAATCACAGGGATGTAATGGCCTTTTAAGGGGAAAAAAATCTCTTTAGTGCTGTGGCCCTGACAAGCCATGGGAGCTCTGGCAACCTCTAGCATCCCAGCCTCACCTGTTTTTCTCTTCTTGCTTTTTTCTCCCTCACTGGGACACTGTGTGAATAGATGAGATAATAAACCAGATTTTCTGAGTTCATAAATTACTCCCTGGGAATCGTTTATATTGCACGTTTACTTTCCGGCCACCGGAGTACTATTTGCTAAATTACTGGCCTCCTGCAGTTCTTTAAGTGAGACCCTAGTGACCTGAAAGAGTTAACGCCTCCTTCCAAGCAATCCCCTTACTCCTGGGCCATAATTTACAGTGGGAAAGGGCCTGGCTGGCCACATGTGGCGTGCTTGGAGTTCTTTGAGAGAGAGTCAGCCCTAGAAACGTAAGGAATTAATATTACAGAAGGTGCACTTACAGGCCATTCCCCAAGGCATCCGCCGTGTAAGTTTTCCCAGAGCGGTTCTGCAGGGCAGGCCAGGGTTACCCTCGCCAGAGCTGTCCTCTAGCCAATGGAAGATTGGTGCCCGACACACGCAGCACAGGGGGAGGGAAGAGCATGTTTGTAGGATGACTTCGCCCTTTGAAATACAATTGGTGAAAGATTGGGAAGTCCATTTTAGAAATCCAAGTAAGAAGCCAAAAGTAAGGTAAGTGTAATAAAATATCTGCTTTACAGTGTGGAACAGTAGGAATATGACTTCAAATGAAGGATCAGTTTTTATATACCAACACAGGAGCTCATGCCTATTCATATGTATCAAAGTGGTCACTAGAGACTTCCCACATGTCCTAATACACAGCTATTGTTCAAAACACTTTACAATGGCGTGGGGATGGATTCGTTCATTCATTCAACAGAGAGGATTTAGGCATCTCGCTTCATAAAGTCCTCTGTTGGCCATTGTCAAGGGACATCAAAAGGCATGAGACAGTATCTCCATATTCAGTAGTGCCAATTGTGTAGATGGGTTTAATTTGGGACAAAGACTAAATCACCTGAAAACAATGTAGTGAAAGAGGTGGGTAAAGACCAAGGCAAGGTCATTTGGACTGTCCTTTTGGTATGGCTTGGTGAATTGCAATGACGGGCTCAAGTCTTCCCTGGTCCTGTATCCGATGCTGTTTGCCGTGTGACTTTGAAGATCTTACTAAACACGTGGTGTTCCTGTCCCCATGTGAGATGTCTGCCTGCTCTGGGAGTCCGATAATCACCGGGGACCAGGCAGTGGAGGGAGCAGAGACCTGCCAAACCCAGAGTTCTTTAGCGGACAGCGAGCCAGCGGTTCTGAAGCCCAAAGGGGAACCTGCTATTGTGGAGAAACCGTGTCTCTGCCTGAGAGTGGCAAGGTGAGTGTCATTTTAACTTAAAACTCTTAAAGGAATCTTTGCAAATCGGCATGTCGCTTCTGCTCTACAACAATACAAGGATTTCTAAACTGTGGCAAAAGCATGTTGGCATCACTGCGTTGGCCAGAATAAAGCTGGCGTTGTATCTTCCAAGGCATGTTTTGGGAGTTCTGTTGAGGTGGTTTAAACCAAAGCTACAAAAATGAGAAAAAACTTATTTTCAGATGAATTTTAGTAGACTGCCAACTGCTCACATTTATGTGCTAAAGAGGCATACTTTTCAAAAACTCTCTCTTCACAATTAAAGGTTTTAAAAATATTCTTCCTTGTGATTCATGGAATTTCAGGTACAAATATTTTTTGAGCACAAAACATGTACTCGGTACTGTTTTAAATGATCATAAGTGTATTTTCTCATGCAGTGACATATATTGTTCATTAAATAGTATGATGTTACAGAGACCCAAACGAAAAGTCAGTTAGGAAGTAAAATGATAGATTTGTTTGGCATCTGCTTTTCCTGGTTTGCAGAACCTTGGTGTGCAGGGCACGGGGGGCCAGAATCCCTTGCAGGGGCGTCCAACCTGCAGCCCAGGATGGCCGAAAATACGGCCCAACACTAAATCGCAAATGGACTTAAAACAGGATGAGATTTTTTGTGATTATGTGTCACAATACATTTAATGTGTGGCCCAAGACAACTCCTCTTCTTCCAGTGTGGCCCAGAGGCGCCCAAAGGCCGGACACCCCTGCTAGAGGAAGGTTTCTGTGCACTTCCCAGCAGGTTTCGCAGGACGCACTTAGTACCTTCGCGTGCCAGCCACCCTCGGGGAGGAAGAACCTCCGCAGCGTGCCACGCCGGGGATGCCAGCGTTTTCTTTATGATCCAGGGACTGTTTTCAGCAAAACGTCATTTCAAACAGATGTGCCCTGGTGTTTACTGAAGGGAGATTTTAAGCCGGGCTGATTAATTAGCAGCTAGTCAAGACGTTTCTTTCCTTTTATCTGGCTAGTCTGGAGTTAATGATGCTGTTCGTAGGTTAAATTCAGATGATGAAAAAAATGGCAGCCAACCCAAACTCAGATCAGTACGCTAGCATGTAAGATGTGGTATTCTAATCACTACCTGGTTTTATTGGCACATGAATTTTCTTTTGAGTGTGCGCAATAGAACTAACAAAGGGGTCAGCACACTTATTCACCTTCTGTGAAGGGCCAGGTGATAACCAGTCCAGGCTTGTGGACCACACAGTCTACCACAACCACTCGACCCTGCAGCTGTGGCACTGATGCAATTTTAGGAAATATGCAAATGAATCACCATGGCTGGGTTCCAATAAAACTTTACTTATGGACTCTAACATTTCAATTTCACATAATTTACATATACCACAAAATACTACTGTTCCTTTGATTT